TGCTTCTTTGTTTTTTCGCCTTCAGGTTGAATGGTTTTTGATTTCTTGTGCTTCTTATGAGATTCAGAAGCAGAGGGAGATCCGGTAACAGCCACGTCCTTCTTTCTAGCAATTATGGTACCGCCTTTGACGTGGATGACTTGTTTGGACTAGGAGAAACTTAGGTCTCCATAGTCTCAGTTGGCTGACTGTTCTCAACCGCTATATCCGAGTTTGTAGTGTTGGAAGGAGTTTCAATACTTCCACTTTGGCGAGTAGACCGCCTCGATGGTTCAGGAGCATGTTTTTTCTGTTTCATGGCTTTTTGTTTGATTCTCGACATGGTCGGAGAATTTTCAGAGGGAATATACAAAAACCAATGGAAGGTTAAGAGAATTTTGGGTTTGTGAATATTGATTGAGAGAGAAATCAGGAATGATGGATGTTGATTAAAATTCAAACTTGTGTAACACACAACCACGAAAATGCAATAACCATTCCTTCCAAAACTGATATTCCCTTGCCAAACACATTACGCGGCTTACCAAATATATTGCATGAAGCTTCTGAAGAACAAGGGTCAAGATTTAGTACTAACAATAAGTTGGCACGATTAAGGAAAATTCAACACTTTAGAAAGCAAATGCATATATGCCTGTGTTCGTTCGAACTAAAAAATTAAAAATAAAAAAATAAAAATATTTTTATATTTTATTTTTTAATAAAAATATCATGTAAATATAAGACAACTGATTATCTTAAATTAATGTTCGCGAATATTATCGGACGTTTGCAAACGAGCTCGTGTTCGTTCGATTACTAAAAGAGTCTAACTTTCTTTTGAACTCGGCACGATTACGATTAATAAACGAACGAGTTTTATCGAACATGAACGAGCTCTAACAAACTTTTGTTCGTGAACGCTCGATCCGTTAACATTCCTACCCATGCATTGGATGCAAGTTATAATTATTTATCTTCACCACTACAAATTAACAAAATACATCCAATCAAAATGAGTTTTATTTGAGGTAAACAAGAATAACTAGTTATGTGGGTCTGCTTTATATATAATGGAACACTATATTGGATTTGTTCAATTCTTTTATTTGACTTATTCAACCTGCAAATGATTACCAGTTTTGAGCCAATTATCAAGAGGTAACCTGCAAAAGCTTTGCACAACAATAACCAATTGCGTATTATGACCACTTATAACAACTTTATCTATTTATTTTCTTTTATAAAGTTACGAATATGGACATTTCCCATATGAAAAGTCGATCAAATTTCATATAAATAATAAATGGGTGAGCAACCTACAATATATTTTATAAAATGCGTATTAGTATGTCAGTCGAAATTATTTTGATGTATGTGTATGATGTACATATGGCTAAGAAACGAATCTACTTTTCCATTAAATTTCTTCAACAAATTACATTTTCTTCACATCACTCTCGAATTCACCTTTGGTTGCCGTATTAAAAAGTGCTGATATTTTCATTTTAAATACTTACTAACGTGCCACTAGGGCTACACAATCTGTCGGTTAAACGAACCGAACCGAAAACTGATATTATATATAATAAGTTAAAAAGGCCTAATATAATGATATATTATATTATTAATATTAACCACTGGCCTAAAGGTACACGGGCCGCCCACCGCAAAGAAGGCCCAATTAAATGATTTATCACTCATCTTCGACTGCCGAGCGATATCAATTATCCAATTCACATGCGGCACTCATCTTCTTGAGACAAGTCGAAAACCCTACCTACGGCTACCGGCTACCATCTTCCGGCTACCATCTTCTCCGCCCGTCTGCCGCACGGCGCACACATTCACACACTCCATCTCCGATCGCTCGGCATCGGCACTCTGAAATCGGAAATCCCAAATTGCCGCGGTCTGAATTCCGAAATCCCAAATCGCCGCGCTCTGAATTCTGCACCCACCCAATTCAAGCTCGTGTTTTATTTTTTGGTGAATTTTTATGCCTATGATTCATTGATTTGAGCAAGCTGCTGCTGAACGGTTGTGGTTAGGAAATTTCTAAATTATTGATATGTTGAAGATTCTATGTGAATTTTATTTCTTGCAGTAGTCTTGTGTTTGGTATTTCCACTACATCAACATCCCTTATTTTTCAAATTTTGAGCAAAATCGAGTTAGTAATTCTAACCTTCCTGCACGTTTTTTTTTTCTTATGCATTTTAGTGTGTTTTGGTACAATTATTAAGTAGTATTTATTGTTATTTGTAAGTTTTATTTTTGTCATTTTTCCTTTTTATCGGACAACCGATAACGGAACTGAACCGTAGTTTTGGTTCGGTTTTCGGTTTTGATACCGGGCAAACCGAATTTTCGGTCGGTTCGGTTTTGACCGAATGTGCAGCCCTACATGGCACAATGCAACTTCGCTTTACATCAAACTATTTCGTGAGTCTGGATTTCTTCATTAAATATTCTGTACACTTGCTCTCCGTAATTACACACACCGTCTTTTTTACTTACTAAAGTTGGTTTATTGCCTGTATTATATTATATTAAATATGCGCGTTTTTCCCTTGCAATTTAAAAATTGCATTAAACCCCTTTGTATTAAGTGTTGGTCAGCTGAGGCTCCCCAATTTATGTCTGAGTCATAACACTGTTACATATTTATCAAACTTTTCGTTATGTCCCCGCGTTGGAGAACTGGTTTCTCGTCAATTTTTCTCTCCTTCTCCAAAAGGTGAAACCCCTAATTTTCAAAAAAAAAAAGAAAAAAGAAAAAAATCAGATCGTAGATTGATGCATATGGGCAATGGTTGAAGAGTTCTCCCAAGAATATGTGACTCCATCCGCCGCCGCCCAGGAATTCTCCCTCGATCTGTACAGCGGCAGAGCGGCAGGCCCTCATCGGGGACGGCTAATGAAGATGTGGATTTCGAGATCCGAGCACACCAAGAGCCAATGGCGGATACGATCCGAAATACGATCCGAGAAGGCCGAGAAAAAGGCCAAAACTACTCATGCATGGTCGAAGAGACGTGTACGAGCTCGTATGCGAGGCGCACGAGCACGAGAGTAGCGACACGAGTCCACCCGTACACGCTGAGGAGATCAATGTCGAGGCACGATCCGGGGCTGCAGGCGAAAGTCCCGAGTGAAGGGAAGAACTCGGGCTTATCACACGTGGTCAAGACGCGCATGGCCGAGACCTGGGAAGCCTGCAGGTCGACAGCGAGGACTGGGTGAGACCCAGTATGAGACACGCGCACGAGAAGGTCGGAGGCGGCGAGTCTGCACGGTGCGAGCGGACGTATGGCACAAACGCGCGAGGACAAGAAAGCGCGTAAGAGACCAAAGTTCCCGCGGGATGACATGGAATTGATGCACGCGACGGGCTGACTTGCGGATGGGTCTAGACGTGGGCGCATACACGTGGACGGGCCTGGACCGATGGACTTGCGTAAGCAGGGCTAGCAACGGGCCAAAGGCACCGCGCGAGGAAGCACGTGAAGGCGTACGTGGGCGTGATGCGCAAATACACGAGGCGAGCCGTGCGAACTGAGGAATGAAGATTCTAGAAGATTAATGTTACATTAATTATTATTTAACTAGTTAGTAGTCAGATTAATACTTGTTAACGTAAGTTTAATTGTTAGATTGGTTATGATATATTTAGTTAGATTTATTAGTTTAGATATATTATTCACGTGGGTTTATTAGTATTAGACAGGTTAGTATTTTGTTAGGTGATTTAATTAGTATAGGTAGATTATATATGATTAGCGTGAATTAGAGTTAGGATTTATTTATTTAATTAGCCGTGAATTATTAGTTGTTTATTAGTGTTAGGATATTTAGATTAATTAGGTATTTTATATTTTGGTAAGTTGCAAGACATTTAGTTACCTTAGATATATTTTCTATAAATTAGAATTATATTTTTCATAGGATTAGATCTAGTTTTTCTTATAAATACTCAATGTACTCATTCAATTTTACATATGGTGAAGTTAATAAATAATCGTTTGTAAGAACAAAACCGTGTGTTTAGAATTCGTGAGAGTTTTATCATACAAATCGAGTTTGGCAAGGATTGGCACCAAACCATCTCAAAATCGTTAGAAGATTAGGTTAATAACCAAGTCGTCCACACCTATCGCCGAGAAGGAAGCCATCTCAAAATCGTGAGAAGATAAGGCTAATAACCAAGTCGTCCACACCTATGGCCGAGAAGGAAGCCGTGGCAAGCAACCGACGAGGCAAACGAATTGACGAGATACACGATTATTCATCATTTGTGCTTTCATTGAGAATGATCAATCGTGTATTTTTTTCATCTTTATCTCCGTAGTTCATTTTGTTGTTCTTTTTTGTCAAGAAATATAAAAATAACTTTTTATTTTTCTTTGTTGAGTTTGTTGAATAAAAAAAAATATTATTTATTTGTCGGGGTTTTTTTTGCCGTGAGTGCTTGTAGCATATTTAAAAAGAAAAAAAAAAGTGAAAAAATAGTTAGAGAAAGCCGAGGGCTATTGTTTAGGAGTAGGGGTTGTTTTGTTTTGGTTGGTATTTGGTCGCGAGAATTATTGCTAAAAAAAAAATCATGTTTTTCGAGTCGTTAGACGAGATGGATTGGGAAGATCTCCGAAAGTTGGAAGGTTTGGAGAGAAGATTAACCCCGCACGAGCAAAAATATTTGGAAGAGTTGTATGAGCGAAAGGACTTCGAGGAGAAGTGTGAACGGCGGGCCAAGAAGGAGTTCATCGACGAAGAGCCCATGTTCACGTTCGATCTGCCGGGCTTCTTTGAAGATGAGGTAACCGAGGTCAAGGAGGAGACTTTGGTCGAGGTCGATGGAGACAAGGTCAAGAAGGAGATGGCCGATGGCGAGTCCTTGAGGACAAGGACTCATTCGAAGGGGGAGGAATGATGAAGATGTGGATTTCGAGATCCGAGCACTCCGAGAGCCAATGGCGGATACGATCTGAGAAGGCCGAGAAAAAGGCCAAAACCACTCATGCATGGTCGAAGAGACGTGTACGAGCTCGTATGCGAGGCGCACGAGCACGAGAGGAGCGACACGAGTCGACCCGTACACGGCTGAGGAGATCGATATGTCGAGGCACGATCCGCGGCAGCAGGCGAAAGTCCCGAGTGAAGTGAAGGACTCGGGCTTATCACACGAGGTCAAGACGCGCCTGGTCGAGACCTGGGGACGAGGACTGGATGAGACCTGGTATGAGACACGCGCACGAGAAGGTCGGAGGCGGCGAGTCCGCACGGTGCGAGCGGACGTACGGCACAAACGCGCGAGGACGGGAAAGCGCGTTAGAGACCAAAGTTCCCGCGAGAGGACATGGCATGGATGCACGCGACGGGCTGACTTGCGGATGGGCCTAGACGTGGGCGCATACACGTGGACGGGCCTGGACCGATGGACTCGTGTAAGCAGGGCTAGCAACGGGCCAAAGGCCCCGCGCGAGGAAGCACGTGGAAGCGTACGTGAGCGTGATGCGCAAATGCACGAGGCGAGCCGTGCGAGCCGAGGAATGAAGGTTCTAGAAGATTAATGTTAGATTAATCATTATTTAATTAGTTAGTAGTCAGATTAGTATTTGTTAACGTAAGTTTAATTGTTAGCAGGGGCGGATGCATATGGGGATCAGTGTGGGCCTAGGCCCACACTGAAATGTTTGGATAAACAATATGTTTAAGAAGCTTGAAAGTGTTTGGATACGTAAACTGCTATACAATTTTTCAAACAAAAATAATTGGATCTGTTATTTAGTGGACTTGAGAAGAAATAAAGTTAACAAAAACAATTCGTTAACAATTATTATTTACTTTCCCAGTGCATACTCTCAACATTTTCTTTCTTATTTTCCCCTATTTTTTTATTATTTGCTTTCTTATGTAATTTTATTGTTTTATATGATTTGTGAACTTAACAATATTATCTATTTTATTTTTTATCATTCATTTTAAAAATAGATGCCATGTTTCTATTAGTTAATAGTTATTGTTCATATCTAGGAACAAAATTATAACTTTCTTTTCTAAATATATTAATTCAATCTATCTAAATTGCCAATTGGAATTAGTTATCAAGATTTACGTAAGAATTGAATACACGTCAATAATTCAATAATATTTTAAGTCTTATACATATTGATGATAAAACATTTTGGAGAACAATTACATTTTTGGAAATTAATATATATTGTTCGAATTGAATATATTCCACAAATGAAAAGGTCAAAAATTATCAAAATAACATTTTCATTTCAAATCTTGTTATATCGTTAAATAGATTTTGGCCCAGACTCAATAATTTTTCTAGATCCGCCTCTGATTGTTAGATTGGTTAGGATATATTTAGTTAGATTTATTAGTTTAGATATATTATTCACGTGGGTTTATTAGTATTAGATAGGTTAGTATTTTGTTAGGTGATTTAATTAGTATAGGTAGATTATATATGATTAGCGTGAATTAGATGTTAGGATTTATTTATTTAATTAGCCGTGAATTATTAGTTGTTTATTAGTGTTAGGATATTTAGATTAGTTAGGTATTTTATATTTTGGTAAGTATATGCAAGGTATTTAGTTACCTTAGGACTAGATATATTTTCCATAGATTAGAATTATAGTTTTCATTTGACTAGATCTAGTTTTTCTTATAAATACCCAATTTACTCATTCAATTTTACATATGTTGAAGTTAATAAAAAATCGCTCGTAAGAGCAAAACCGTGTGTTTAGAATTCGTTAGAGTTTTATCATACAAATCGAGTTTGGCAAGGATTGACACCCAAACCATCTCAAAATCGTGAGAAGATAAGGCTAATAACCAAGTCGTCCACACCTATCGCCGAGAAGGAAGCCGTTGCAAGAAACCGACGAGGCAAACGAGTTGATGAGATACACGATTATTCATCAACGGTGCAGACCTTGTTGCCGAGGTCGTCGGCAGCGACGGTGATGAACCTGAGGGAGCCCAGGGTATCCTCGATCGAGACGTCGGCGTTAGAACGGAAGGGTCATTTTCGCGAAGGCCTTGCGGTGGAGATGGAGGCGAGCATCATGAACGGTCGCGGCGCGCAATGCGGCGTCGTCTCCGACATCACCACCGTGAAAAACCCCATATCCCCGGCTCGCCTCGTCATGGACAAATCCCTGCATTCTTACCTCTCTTTTTCCGGCAGCGAGAAGATTCCAAGCAATAGGTCTCTCCCTATTCAGATCCAAGAGCCAAAAAAGTGAAAGAGAAGACTTCTCTTGCCGCCTGCCTACTGGAAATTCCATTGAAATTTGGAGGATGGAATTTTAGATTTTGTTNTTGGATTTTTTTTCAATGGAAAAAATAGTAAATTTTAATTTTAAAATAAAAAAATATAAGATAAAAATAAATAATTGTTGCAATACGGGCATGTGTACTGCACGCGCCGTTAAATTGGACGGAGAGGGGATATCGTGCTATCATTAGTTAAATACTAAAATCAAGGGAAAATCTGCCGATTTCATATAATACAAAAAGATATTATATATTCTACCCAAAATTTATTTATTTATCATCATAAAATTGCAAACGAATCAAATTTGAACTCAAGCGTGAATAAAATAAATTCAAGCTTAGTTTGAAAATGATAATGGTCAGACTCGTTTGCATCATTACTCGCCCCATCCATTTTTAGGCTGACTCATGTGGCCCCATCTTTTCCGGAACTTTCCTTCATGTTTATATAGCTTCAAAGAATTTGCCAACAAATTTTATTTATTTCATAAAATGGGCCACCAGGTTGAGCCATGAAAAAAATGGTTTAATAGATTATTGGCCCAGCCGTTTATATATATTAATTAGAGGAATTTGCATCTCATACTCTCATACGTTATTTATATAATATTTATACATCCAATTTAATTTTATTTATAAATTAATTAAATCAACCACAAAATATTACAAATATACTTAATATCCAATTCAACAGTTTTTAAGATATTTTCGAGCAAATTAAATATGATTAGATCATGAATTGGTAAGATATATTATATAATATCTTCGGAGATATTATATCTCTCTCTGCAGAACTGCCCACGCTCTCCATCTCTATGCAAAAAACTTCCATTTCTTACCCCAATTTTCTCAATGGCGAAACAAAACTCCCCATCTCTACTTGAAAAAAAACTGACAAACGGTGGACAAAGACTGGCGGTGGTCGGACTATCACGTATATGGTAGTCGAAATATCCCAACCGCACATAAAGGGGACCAAAAGTTATTCATCACGACCCATGTGCCGATAGAGTGCTCGTCCAGGCCGCAGAAGAAGTCCACGCAGCATCACTGACATAAAAGCGTCGACCCATCGTTTACCATCCGCTGCCGCCTCTTCCCCTGGAGTGGAGTTTTCCTTCCAACGACTCCACCGCCGCCCCCGATGCCGAAACTACGCTGGCTCCTGAAAAAGTCAAGTAATTTAAGTATTTGTGCATCATTTTCATTATAAATATGAAGTGTTTGATGTAATGCCTCAGTGAATATCGTTATTATTTCTTCAGTTTAGGGATTGTGAGAGTATGTCTGCTTATTGTATCAGTATCTGCTGTTGTTTTATTCAATGAGAATGCTGCAACATTTTGGTTCAATGCAATCCTCATTGTCAGTAAAAAAAAAAAACGAAAAAAGAATTTAACAATGAGCAATTTTTATATTTTTGTTATTTTGTTATATTATTGAGACTATTATATCATATACTGAATATATACTAACTATTAACGCAACATATACTGCACATTCAGAAAACCTGAGAGCGGAAAAATTTAATTGAATATAAAAGCAACATATAGTTCATTGTAGCTGCAATGGTTATTTGTTGAGTATATGCTGCATTTACATACAATCTCGTTTCAGGTTATATGTTGTTGAGTACTTTTTTTTCGTGAAAATATACTAACTATAAACTTAAGATATAATGCTCATTCAAAACATGAAGATTTTTACTGACTTTTAAACGCAACACATACTTCGTTGCAGCTGCAATTTTACAAAAAAAAAAAAATACATATACCGTCAATAAAACACAGTTAAAGAAACGACAAAAACAAAAAAAATAATACGAAACCAAATAATGTTTTTTATCAACGAAAAATACCATACTATATCATAGTTTATGTGTGGTATAGTAAGAGAATTTTTTATTGAAGTCGAAACTAACAAAGGAGTAATTTGTTGTTTTGTTTTTTTGGTATATTAGGAGATTATTGCAACATATACTAAATATATACTAAATATAAACTCAATATATACTGCTCATTCAAGACATGAAAAGTTATACTGACTTTTAAACTCAACATATACTTCGATGATGAAATTTAACCGTGTCTTTTGTTTTAGGAAGAAGGTGAAATTCAAATTTAAAATTCTTTGTGTTGAACGAATAACAACACTAATCCAGGATTATGTTTTGGATATATTTTCATTCCATATATAACGGGTTCCTATTTTAATGTTCTCATTTAATTAGCAATCATGGCCGTAATTATAGGTGTGAGGGCGTTATTTTTGTTAACAAATTCTTTAGGCATATATAACAGATTCCTATTTAGGCATCAATGTACTTATAAATTATCTATTAGGTAGAGACGTAATTATTTGTTTATAGATTGTAGTTTTGCAATATTTTCTTGTAGGATACATGACAACCATTTTGACAAGTATACTGACATATTATAAACACAAATCAAAGAAAAAAAATACTATCTATGATAAATTAAATAGTACAGTTTTCTCGTACAATTGAATTTAAATAGTACAGTTTTGCTATGGAGCCATCGACACTTATTCACCAATAATGTATTGACACGTGTCATACAATAAATACAATTTGGACAGGTGTCAACACATTAAGTGGTAGATGGCTCCATAAGGAAACCATCCGATGGCTCCATAAAATTTTTTGTTAAATTGTAACAGGAATAACAATAAACAGTCCGACTTGTTTGGCCGCCAACTGGATAATCAGCCACTAATCGGGTTGTACGACATTCATTACCACGTAAACGACCAAATTATGCACTTCAAACATCAGCTTATCTGCACAAGTCTCCCGGCTTGCCAATCTTTATGTTTTGAGTGTCTAAAAAATCTGTAATAGCTTTCTTTCGCCAGTCCTTAAAGCTCCTGCATCTCATAAATTTTAAAGGAAATACAAAACCAACAGTTAAAAAAATTCCAAAGTGATAAAAAAAATTAGTTTAGTTCGAAACTCAGCATGATAAGGAAGAATTTTGTTAACTGTGCAGGTTCTCTCTGTTCTTTGGGTAACTAAAAGAGAGTTTCTCTAAATATCCAACCGTTGAATTTTCATAAAAATACAACATAAGAAACTAATTGCTTGAGGAATCTAATGGTATAGCTCACTCCTCAATCAAGTCTTTCGACCGCAGAATATATGCCTACAGAGTTTCTGGTTTTTCGGCAAGTTAACTGGTGATCGGGCTACACCGTTGGATTTCTCAAGAAATTAGTTTTTTATATGTATATTTTTCATGAAAATCCATTGTTTGGATCTTTTGTATAACTTGGTCAAACCTTAATGCGTATTTTGTCCAAAATTTTGAACCATTGACGAAAGTTTTGAGGAACTTCGAAATATCGTATGA